ACCTCACGTACTTTTACCACACATGTACATACCTCACATATACCCACCTCACATATATTCCTCACACATGCACACACCTCACACATACACACATCTCAGACACATATATCACACATGCATGCACTTTACACGCACACACCTCATACATATACACCTCACAAATACATATCTCATACACATACACCTGACATACACGCACACATACATACCGCACATGCACCTCACATACACAAAACTCACACACATACACCTGACACATATACACACCTCACATACATAAACCACACATACACATACCTCACACACACACCACACAGACTCACACCTCACAAATATGCACACACCACACAAGCAAAAAAGCCCACTGGAATTTCTGAAAATATTTATTAAAATACATAGCAACTTCACTGTAACTAAAAATATCCAAAAATACTATGTGCCATACCATAATCCTTTAATTAATTAATTAATTTTGAGACAAATTCTTACTATGTAGTCCTGACTGGCCTGGAACTCTCTGTGTAGAACAAACCAGACTTTAACTCACAGAGTTCTGCCTGCCTCTGCCTCCCTAGTCCTGGGATTATAGGCGTGTACCACCACACCTGGCTCATGCTATAATCTTAGTCATTTGCAATACAGTTTTAGAAAATGACAATATTCAGATTAAATACAGGAAAGAAAACACAACATTAAAAAAAAATTTTTTTTTTGGTCTTTTTGAGACGGGGTCTCCCTGTAGTCCCAGTTGTCCTGGAACTCACAATGTAGACCAGGCTGGCCTTGAACTCAGAGAGATCTGCCTGCCCATGCCTCCCAAGTGCTGGGATTAAAGGCATGCGCCACCACTCCCAGCCAAAAATAAACTTTTTAAAAATTAAAATGTTATGGGCACACATGGGTTCGAGTCCCAGCACACTGCATGACACGAGTGAACTTACACACATGCAGGCATAACAGTCATACACATAAAAAAGAAAAATAAGTTGAGCATGGTGGCACACACCTTTAATCCCAGCACTTGGGAGGCAGAGGCAGGCGGATCTCTGTGAGTTCGAGGCCAGCCTTGTCTACATAGTGAGTTCCAGGACAGCTGGGGCTACAGGAAGACCCTGTCTCAAAAAGACCAAAAAAAATTTTTTTAAATGTTTAAAAGATTTATCATTTAATTATGTATATTTTGTGTGTGTGCGTGTGTGTGTATGTGTTGGATCCTGGCACCAGGTATAGCTGAGCATGACAGCAGACACCTCCAATCCCAGCAGTTGAGGCAGGATGATCAGAAGTTCCAGGTCATCCTTGGCTACATGTCGAGTTTGAAGCCCACCTGGGTTTCATGAGAGACACTGTGATTCTATATAGGACCTTTTCAGCTTTGCATATGGGTTTTAGAAGCAAATCTGGGTTCTGTCTTCCTCTAGATTAAACCTTTGAGCTAAGTTTCCCTCATATCAATGCCAGAAGAGCAGTTTGCTATAAAGATATTTTCCAATACTTCAATCTGGTTCTAGGGGGGGGAAAAACTTCTTATATTCAGCCACTATACCAATTCAAGTCTCTTTTCAAAGATAGTCTTTCTGAGGCCGAAAGCTAGTTCTTATATTTCAAGGCTCTTTCCTTTGGCATTGGGCGATTCACTATATAAGGAAATGAATGCCCACGTGAAAGACCAGGACCCGTAGACAGAGGTTACCACCTTTCTCTGAGGTGCTTGTTGCAGCTGCCTGCCCAGGGCCTGTGGGATTTCAATGACAGAATACAGTCTTTTCTTCTGGTCCAGGCCAAAGATACTCTTAACAGAAAAGGAGCAGGGTGAGGGCCTGCTTTCCCCAGGAAGGCTGGTGGGTATCCACCTTGGGGCTGCACAGAGCAGGAGTTCTGATCTTTCTGTGGGCTCCTGCCCCACATTAACTAAATTCTCTTATTTAAATATCCATTTTATTGTTTCACAAGTCACTTTTTTTTTTTTTGACAGGGTCTCCCTAGTTTCAGCCCACCTGGAGTTCAGGCTGAGCTCAATCTTACAGAGATCCACCTGCTTCTGCCTCCTGAGGGCTGTGATTAAACATGCATGCCACCACGCCTGATGTTATGAGTCACTTTTTAAAAAGATCTTATTTTTATTTTTTTGAAATATTTTATTACTTTTGTTTTATGTATATGAGTGTATGCATAGCCTGCATGTTTGGAAGTGCACCCATGTCATGCAATGCCCATGGAGGTCAGAAGAGGGCTTTGGATCCCCTGGAGCTGTAGTTATGGATGGTTGTTAGCTGACATGTGGATCCTAAGAATCGAACCCATGTCCTCTGCAAGAGATGACAGTGCTAACCACTGAGTCATCTCTCCAGCCTCCCTTATTTTAGTTTTTAATTAGGAGGTTGTGAGCCACCTGACACAAGTGCTGGGACCCAAACTCTAGTGCTCTACAAAAGCAGTACATGCTCCTAACCATTGGGCAAGCTCTGCAGCCTTTTACAAGACACTGGTTTTTTAAAATAATTTTATTTATTTATTTATTATTGTGTGTTTTCTTAAAATAGTTTCCAGAAGGGATGCCCTTTCTCTTTCCTTAGCTCCCTATGGAGACCAGACTGGCCTCGAACTCCCAGAGATCTGCCTGCCTCTGCCTCTGCCTCTGCCTGGTATTAAAGGCATGTGCCACCATGCCTGGCTTATTTATTATTTTTATGCGTGTGTGTATTGCCTGCATGTAGGTAAGTGCACTCATGTCATGCAATGCCCGAGGAGGACAGAAGAGGCTGTCAGATCCCCTGGGACTGGAGTTACGGACAGTTGTTAGCTGCCATGTGGATGCTGGGATATGAACCCGGGTCTTCTGCAAGAACAGCCAGTGTTCTTAACCGCTGAGCCATCTATCTCTCCAGCCCACAAGACAATGGTTTATGCCAGAGAGCAGCACGGAACCATAGGAATTTCAGCAGGTACAGCAAAACAGACTTTTTCCCTTTCATGTTTATGCTTGCTTTTGTTGGGAAAATGGATATATACCTGAGGGTGGCCTCGAACTTCTGATACTCCTGCCTCTACTTCCCAAGTGCTGGGATTTTAGGTGTGTACTACCATACTTGGTTTTATGTTAGGGATAAAACTCGGGGCTTCATGCATGCTAAGCAAGCACTCTACCTAATGAGCTACATCCCTGGCTTTCTTCCCCTTTTAAGTACCTTTTTATAAAACATTAAAAAAATACATGTGTACTTTGAACATAGGACCCGTGTCAGCTCAATTAAACAAGTGCCCAAAGGGGAGGTGAGAAATAGGTAGTGGGCCAGCACTACATTGAGAACCATTTGAGACTGATTGCTGCTGGGTGGGAGAGATTATGACTTACATATGACCACCTGATGGGCTGACTAGACTCCAGTGGATGCATTCACGCTGAAGGACATTTGGGTACAAACACCTGAATGAATAGGATTCAGCATGTATGAGTGTGTTTAGGGTTTGATGGGGGGAGGGGGGCTCTGGATTTGAGTGGGAAATTATGAAATTTTAAAAGCTCAATTAGAAAAATTGTGTGCACATGCGCGTGCGGAACTCAGAAGACAACTTCCTAGAGTTGGTTCACTTGTTCTACCGTGTGGATCCTGGGGATGAACTCAGGTTGTCAGGCTTGCTAGCAAGCGCTTTTACCCACTGAGCTATCGCCTTGACCCAATGGCAGTGTAGCCTCTCTGTAATCGTTGTTCAGTATTCTACATAGATGATGGTGTCATCTGTAAAGTATCTGAAGTCTTCTCAACCTGTACACCTCTCATGTTTTTGTCTTACTGCATTAGTTAGGCCTTCTGGCATGATGCTAAAAAGTGGAGAGGAAATAGCCTTGTCTGCTTCCTGATCTCAGGGGGAAGATTCTCGCCACTAAATGTATTTAGTAGCTTCTCGCCACTAAATATATTAGCTATAGAATTTTTTGCACTTTTTTTTTTGAAACATGGTCTCATTCCATAGCCCAGGCTAGCCTTGAATTCCTGGAAGTCCTCCAGCCTTGGCTTCCCAAATGCTGGTACTACAGGGATAAGTCGCCATATCCAATTTGTCCATGTTCTTTCTCTGGTGCGGAAGGACCCCTTTATTCCCAGTTCCTGAGAGTCATTCTTTTCTGTGTGCTTATTTGTATGTGTGCATGTGCTTGTGCATGTAGAGGTCAGAGCATGTTTGGGCATCAATTCTCACATTCCCACTTTCATTGTGAGGCAACATAACCCAGGCTGGCTGGCTTCCTTGCCTGCTTTTTTTCTTTTTTTTGGTCTTTTTGGGACAGGGTCTCCCTGTAGCCCCAGCTGTCCTGGAACTCACTATGTAGACCAGGCTGGCCTCGAACTCACAGAGATCCACCTGCCTCTGCCTCCCAGAGTGCTGGGATTAAAGGCGTGAGCCACCACACCCGGCTCCTCGCCAGCTTTTTAATATAGGTTCTGAAGATCTTAACTCAGGTTGTCATCCTTGCACACCAAGTGCTTTTACCCACTGAGTCACCTCCCCAGACCCCTGGAATTTTTACCATCCTTATGATCTTACTGAATTTAATAAGTTTAATTGTAATAAAATTTTGCCAAGAACTTCTCCGACTAAACATTATATATATATTTTGTGTGCATGAGATGGGGTGTCACAGTATAGCCCAGACTGATCTGGATCTCACAACGTAGCCCAGGATGACTCTGAACTTCAGGTAATCCTCCTGCCTCAGTCTCCTACTAGAGTACTACGTTTATGGGCATGTACTACCATGCCTGGCTTACAAATTTATATCTCTCAACTTATTGGAATATTTGTATAATTTTTCAGAGGTCCACCTAAGAACACCTATGTCTTTCTCTCTGAACATGCATATCCAGACAAGACAGGGTCAATGTTTTAGAGTTACACTGGCATAAAATGTTTTCAAACAACAGGCTACCAAATGTCTCTAAATCCCTGTGTTTGTCACACAGTAAAAGGATAAAAAAGCTACAGAACATAGAAGACACTGATAGGTGTTTCGAAAATTATTTTATTGTTACATTCCAAAGAGGTCATAGAAGAAAAAAGCCAGTTATCCAATAACTCTTACTTTTCCAAGAGAGCTGATTTGAACCCCAGTCCTAGTTCAAAGCTCAAACAGCTGCCTCTCAGTGCGACCGGAAACCAATATGTGTATATCATCCGTCCAGGGAGGCTTGGGTTTAAGAGAAAATGTCTTTATTCTAAGTGTCCAAGTCCTTTTAGATACTAGGAGATGAGGAAGACCACACAGAGAGACTATGTTTAGTCATTAGAGTAAACCAGCAAATGGCAGTTTGTCCTAGGATGCACTGTATCAGACGTCACTGTACATGGAAAAAGTCTGCATTTTGTAAAGAGCTGCCAGGCATTCCAGATCCAACTCACCATGAAATACAGCCATAGGCCAACCAGAGACTTAGGGAAGAGTCGGTACGAAAGTCAGATGGGAAGTCAGCACTCCGAGGCGGCTGGCTGCCCTGGGAAATGTTAACCAAACAGAAGCTACGGCCTATTTACAAAAGTCTGTTTAGTGAAGCAACTGTGGAGAAGTTGTGGCAAGCATTTCCCAGACATCCCTCCTCCATCACAAACACCAAAAACACTTGAAAAGTACCTTGAAAATCAAGTTAAAACTGTGGTCAAAAAGAGTGCTGTTCCAGGTAAGGACTTCAAGATAACTTACAGGCCGAGTTAATTTTATTAGTAAAAGTCACAAGTAGGAAAAGGCTTATTGGCTAACTTTGAACTGTGTGCTTTTAAAAATGTCTCCATTAATGCATTAACAAGAAAAAACAGTAAGCATGTGGGTTTGCTTCCAACTTGGAGTCTTCCAGCCAGAGCTGGTAAAATCAATAGGGTATTAAAGCAAAGCCCAGGAACACCCAGTTCTCTCCACTTGTCTGCCTTGGTTTTTCTAGTCACCTTGAATTCAATTCCAGATTAGCTGAGGACAACATGGCGGTCGAAGACAGATTTTCGCTGCTCCTGAACTTGAAGCTTCCAGCGCTGTTGAGCATATTCTACTTTGTTTAGGACATTGGCTCGACTGCGAGAGCGGGCCAGAACATCATGGGCGTTTGCGAAAGGCTGGTGATCCTGAAAGTCAAGGTGGAGAGCATTTGAGATGGCAGAATCAGCATAAAACACAAACACGAAACAGCCTGTGTGCCAGACCCAGGGACAGGGCATCCTAGACCCTCAGCTATTAGAAACAGGACAAATTCAGAGACACAGGCAATAAGGGGCTATTTATGACACATTACCACAGGTCACCATTCCCAGAGACATTTCTCTTAAGGAACAGAGACCAAGTCAAGGACAGTGGCTATTTGTGTTAAAAGAGAAGTCTTTTCAGCTGGGCATGGTGGCGCACGCCTTTGATTCCAGCACTCGGGAGGCAGAGGCAGGCGGATCTTTGTGAGTTCGAGGCCAGCCTGGTCTACATAGCAAGTTCTAGGACAGCTGAAGCTACAAGGAGACCCTGTCTCAAAAAGAAAAAAAAAAAAAAAGAGAAGTCTTTTCTGACTAGTAGGAGAATAAAAGTTTATTTTCATGGGCCAGTGAGATGGCTCAGCAGGTAAGGACACTTGCCACCACACCTAACAACCTGAGTTTGAGCTCCAGGACCCACATGGTGGAAGGAGAGAGCTGACTCCTGCAAGTTGTCCTCTGACCTCCACAAGCCCACTGTGGCATGCACACATCCACACTTCCCACTCCATAAATAAATAAAAACTATAGCCAGGCGTGGTGGTGCATGCCTTTAATTCCAGCACTCGGGAGGCAGAGGCAGGTGGATCTCTGAGTTCAAGGCCAGCCCGGTCTACAGAGTGAGTTCCAGGACAGCTGAGGCTACAGGGAGACCCTGTCTCAAAAAAAACAAAAACAAAAACAAACAAACAAAAAAACCCACTATAAAAGGGGCTAGAGAGATGGTTCAGTAGTTAAGAGTGCTTGCTGCTCTTTTAGGACTAGAGTTCATTTCCCAGCACCCATGTAAAGCAGCTCACAATGGCCTGTAATTCCAGCTCCAGGGAACTTTGATACCTTCTTCCAGCCTCTGCAGGCACCTGAATGCAGCATGCGCGCGTGTGCGCACACACACACACGAATGCACGCACATATATACACATATATAAAAAAAATCTTTAACGAAAAATTTAAGTCTATTTTCTCAGCTTTTTTTCTTGACATAGGGTCTATGTCACCAAGGCTAGCCTAGAACTCACTATATAGCCCAGGCTGACCTCAAACTACTGATCCTCCTAGTCTGCCTCCCAAGTGCTAGGATCATAGGCACGTGTCCCCTGACACCTAGCTTAAGAAAGTCTATTGGCAAAAAAGAAAAAAAAAAAAAAAAGAAAAGAAAAGAAAAAAAGACAGTCTATAGGCTGGAGAGCACAGTTAAGAGAACTGGCTGCTCTTGAAGCGGACCTGGGTTCAAGTCCCAGCACCCACATGGCAACTAATAACTGTCCATAAGTCCGGTTCCGGGGATCAGATGCCTTCTTCTGACCTCTGCAGGCACTGCATGACATGGGTGCACTTCCATACATGCAGGCAATATATTTACACACAGAAAAAAATAAAAATATATAAAATATTTTTTAAAAAGAAAGTATTTTCACATTAGTTATCTCCAGGACAGATACTAGAAGCAGGGCTTTTCCTTGTATTGATCAGCAGTATGTAGCTAATCTGTGGGAGGAGAGATCTGTCTTCTAGTTTCCTGACTCCCATTATATCAGAACTGCTGACCTGTCAGCCTGGGACCACATGTACAGGGCAGAGGAACTGACAGGTAATTATCCTGGTTGGTCTTACTCTCTCCCAGGGCCCTCAACAGACACTAAATGGACTAGTATCCAAAAGTTTTCTTCTTTTCCTTCTCTGTCTGTTCTGCAGTGAAACATAGCTCAAGTGATACAATCTCCCTCTATTATTGGAAACCATGAGGAATGGCTTACTTCAACATCTCTTCAGCAGCTTGAATCTTTCACTGCTGAGTGCCCCTGGGCTTCCATGCTACTGTCTTAGGAATGAGGCTACTGAAGGGTTTGCCCTGGTATCTGCGTGCAAAGCCAACCTCTCCTTCTTGAAGCAAACTAATGCAACTGGATGTTTGTAGTCATTACACAGGAAACCACCACACTAATCTACCAACCAAAGCGATGTAAACACAGCTGCTCACAGGACAGAACAGATTCAATAGTAATTGATTGTTTTTGTTTTGCTTTTTCCTTGAGCTCTTTTTCCTGAACCCTAAGTTGTTAGCCAAGTTTCTAAATGTTCTAGCACATGTCAGACTTCTCAAACTAAGCTTGCCTTCAGGAAAGAAGGCTGTGCATAGGCACCTGGACCCAGGGCCGGAGTTGGCACATACATAGAAAGCCATGCACAATTGCCTTACTGTGTTACAATGTTGCTATATGGTCTTTAACCTGGTCTTGTTTCCACAGCAATACATTTCTACCATGCCTACATACTCAAAATGTTTTATTTTTTAATTTTTGTTTTGTTTTTTTGTCTTTTTGAGACAGGTTCTCCCTGTAGCCCTGCCTGGAACTTGCTTGTATGTGTATGTACATATGTATGTATGTATGTATGTATGTATGTATGTATGGATGGATGTTTTATGTCAGAAGACAACTTTGTGGAGTCAGTTTTCACTTTTACCTGAGTTCCAGGGATTGAACTCAGATCACCAGGCTGGCATGGTAACCCACCTATAGAGGGCATCAGATCCCCTGGAGCTGGAGTCATACACAGGTGTCGGAGTCACCCAACATGAGTGCTGGGAACTGAACTCCAGCCCTCTACAAGAGCAGGATGTGCTCTTAAGCACTGAGCCATCTCTCCAGTCCCCCTCAAAGAGTTTTCTATAAAGAATCTTTTCTTGTCTTCTTTACAAAAACACCCTCTGCTTTTTATTTAATTTAGGTAATACCTTGTACAAATCTCATTATTTTAAACTTTACAAATGAAAACAATAAAGTCAATCCCATGTTTCAGAGTCACAGGAAGAAGGTTAAAGAAAGAAAACAAGCAAGCTATGCAGGGTGCAGTACACCTCTAACCCTCGCACTTGGGAGGATGCTGCAAGTTCAAGGCCAGCCTGGTGTATACAGTGAGTTCTAGACCAGCCAGGCTCATAGAAAGACCCTGTATCAAAAAATAAATAAAAAGAAAGTGGAAGGCTAAAGTTGTAAGATCACTTGATTTCTAATAAGGAAATAAACTGGCCCAAGGTCATTTAACAATTGGCACAAACTCTAAAACGTAGCTTGCCTAACCTTGACTTGATGCCGTATCTTCCCAACACACTGGCTTTGTTCAGGTAGATTTAAATGACACTATGGGAATATGGTGCTTCAGTGAAAAAATTTGTATATAAAATATTATTATCATTGATTTATTTTGACATAAACAATGCAGGCAAGAAGGATGGACTTCATCAGAACGCACCTCTTAGTTTCACAGCCCTGTCATCTACTCTTCAAGGTAGAGGAAGAAAAAAATCTTAAGGAACAAACTCAAATGACTAAACAAAGCAGTTGGTCCATTTGGACGGCTCTCCACCCACAGAACAAGATTGAACTAGCTGTTCTGCTCATGGACACTGGAAGAATGCAAATAGAGATTTACCCTTTAATATGTTTGTTCTTTTTACACCTGATAAAATTACAATGAATACAAAGTATGTTTTAATGTAATGTTTAAATAACAGTGGTGATGTGTCACCAATATATGATACAACAAATATTACCACTATTTGCAGTTAACTTCTTGGCGATTTATACTAACTTTTCTCTGCCTTCAAATGTTCTACGCTCACAAAAGTGGAAAAATTTTCAATACTTTAAAAATGAATATTTAAAGAGTAGGAATTCATAGGAATTTAATTTTTTTGTATTGAGTTAAACTCTCAGCTTTGGTTAGGAAACTTTTCTCTACCTAGAATCAGTTTAACAAATATCGGAGTCAGCCAATGTTTGCTGGTGGTCAGTGTGTGGGCAGAATTAATCACTGATAGGCAAAATGATTACTAAGCATGTGAGCTCATCGATCAATGCCACCTCCACGTTTTCATTTACACATTTGTGCAACAATTTATGTTCTGCATATATTATATTAATATTGCCTATTTATGAAATCAGCAATAGATAATTAATGCTGTAAGGATGTAGACAAAGTTGGACTCTAACCTTGTGCCAAAAATGAAAATGGTTTACGCAGCCTTTGACATACAACATTTTTATGTCAGTGGTTCTCAAATGGCAGTGATTTTTACCTCCCTGCCATGGACAATGAGCAAGGTTTTTCTACAACAAATAATTATTTAACCCTAATATCTACAGAGTCAGGGTTGCAAATGCATGAATGAAAATTAGCATGGACACAGTACTTGAGACCTACTGCTCCTGATACACAAACTCTTTCTAGGCACTATGCCTGTTCTGTGGGTTTAAAAAAATTTGTTTTATATTTGAGACAGGGTCTTATGTAGCCCAGGTTGTCACTGAACTCATCATGCAGCAAACAATGACCTTGAACTTCTAATCTTCCTGCATCCACCTCCCAAATCCCAGGACCACAGCGGTGTACCACCACACCCAGACTCCACGGCTGACTTTTTAGTCCATCTCCAGTCTTACCTTTCTCTCAGCCTACTAACTTGCTCCTGGAATTCATTCATTCATTCTTTCTTTCCTTTCTTTTATTATATATATACGAAATTTTTATTTTATGTGTATGAGTGTATTGCCTACATGTATGTGAGTTCACCCATGTTGTACAGTGCCACAGAGGTCAGAAGAGGGCTTTGGGTTCCTCTGGAACTGGAGTCAAGGATGGTTCGTAGCCGCCATATGGGTGCTGGGAATTGAACCTGGGTTCTCCAAGAGCGGTCAATGATCTTAACCACTGAGCCATCTCTCCAGCCCCTCTTTATTTTTATTTTTAATGAACATTTTTGTTCTGTGTATATGTGTATGCATTTATTTGTATGTGGGAGTGCAGGTGCACAGGCATGTCATCATGACATATATGTGGAGGTCAAAGGACAACCTCAAGTGTCTATCTTGATGAGGCAGGGTCTCTCTGCTGCTCTGTACACCAAACTAGCTGGCCCACAAGCTTCTGGGGACTCCCTTGTCTCTGCCATCCACCTTGCTGCAGAAGTACTGAGATTACAGACATGTTATTACTATATCCAGCTTTTACTTGGGTTCTGGGGATTCAAACCCAAGTTTTCATGCTTGCACAGTCGGACTTTACCCCGAGTCATCTTCCCAGACCCCTCCTGGAATTCTTTAAAAACATCTAGGTGTTTTAGTAAGCTAGGTGTGGTGCTGTATGCCTGTAAACACCTATCCCAACACTAAATAGGAGGCTGAGGAAGGAGGTATGTGATGTGTCACACTTAATGGGCTACGCAGTAAGACAATGCCTCAAAACAGATAAGTGAATTAAGTAAAACTGAGTATATTGTTTTTTTCTTTCTTTTGTTGGGGGGGGGGCTTTGTTGTTTTGTTGAGTCTGTCCGGGTTACCCTTGAACTTGTGACCCTCCTGCCTTTACCTCCTGCTGGGGTTCAAGTGTGTACTATATCCTCAGACCTATAAATATTTATTATTTTTATTTTATGTGTGTGAGTACTTTGCCTGCATGTAAGTGCACCCATGTCGTACAATGCCTATGGAGGTCATTAGAGGGAATCCCCTGGAACTGGACTTACAGACGGTTATTAGTTGCCACGTGGGTGCTGGGAATTGAGCCTGGGTCCTCTGGAGACTGGAAAGATGACTCAGTGATTAAGAATGCCAACTGCTCTTGAAGATGAACCAGGTTTGAGTCCCAGAACCCACACGGCGGCTAACTAGCATCCGTAAGTCCAGTTCCAGGGGATCTGATGCCCTCTAATGACCTCCATGGGCATTGTTGACACAGGTGCACTTACACAAATGCAGGCAATACACTCATACACAGAAAATAAAAATGATAAAATAGTTTAAAAATTTATTTGTTTATATTTATTTGATGTGTATGAGTGTTTTGCCTGCATGTATGTAAGTGCATGTGCATGCAATCCCCACAGAGACCAGAGGAGGGTGATAGATGCCCTGGAACTGGAGTTATGAATGGTTGTTAGCCGCCATGTGGGTGCTGGAAATCGAATCTGGGTCCTCTGCAAAAGCAGTCAGTACTCTTAACTGCTGAGCCAGCTCTCCAACCCCTTATTTTTTTTAATTTTGAGACAAGGCCTTGCTAAATTACCCAAGCTGCTCTCAGCTCATTCTGTAGTCCCAGGAGGCCTTAAGCTTATGATCCTTCTGCCTCAGCCTCCTGAGCATCTGGGATTTCAACACTAAGAAGACTAAAAAAATTTATTTATTTTTAAAAATTAATTAATTTATTAATTTAATTTTTTGATATTTTTGAGACAGGA